ATGAAGAACAAAGTACAGTATATTAATAGAATAACACAATGACAAGAATATTTAGCCAGTTAACACTATTTATTGAGTGCCTACTATGTTCCAGGCACAGAGATAGGCACAAAGGGAAACAAAATCAGACATAGTTATGCTCTTGTAAAGCTTACAGAGATACTGAGAAAAAGAAGCAACAGTCAAATACAAAAATAAAATGAAGCTACGAGTGACAAGCACCAGGAAAGTGCAGCGCAAGTGCGGCGAGAATAATACACTACCTAGTAGGGAGCCAGGCAAGCTACCTCTCGCTGAGGCTGTGATAGCACACTTGGGATCTGAAGGTCCAGGTTGGAGAACCTGGAAAGAAGCAAGAGACTTCAGGCTTGGCAACAATGGAAATCCTTGACAAAGAACTGAAGAAGGCCCACGTGGCTGGGGCTGCCCACCTGGGCCACACTGAGGGGTAAGATTAGGCTGAAAAGGTAGGAAAAGTAAAAGCATTGAAAAGTTTCAAGCTGGGGAGTTGGGGACAGCTCAGACTTACATTTTGAATAAAACCACTCTGGCTGCAGTATAGAGAACAGAATGTAATATTACAAAGATTTGAACTGTCAACTGGAGAGCCCAGGTGGAGACAAGCAGTGATTATCAATATTATTCAAAGCAGTTTCTTATCTGTGTGTTTTAATGTTTATATTAAATGAATATACACATACAAATAGTTTAAAACACAAGACAGCACTATAGAATAAGGTTTATTTTAAAAAATGGCAGCCCTCAAAAAAACAAAACAGCAGTGTCCCAACCATTCCTCCCCAATCCCTTTGCTCCTTCCAGTGACCCCTTTTTGCACTCTTAACTATTCACCTAGTATTTCCTCCCCCTGCTTGTTTTGGGGGAGCAGGGTCTAGTGCTGTGTTACATTCCCAGCCCTTCCTCTTGCTTTTAAAAGCATACTTTTAAAGTGCTATTATCTATTTTTCAGTTTTATACATTATTTCTTGCTAGGGAAGAAAAAATTTTCACACTATGGCTCCGTGTTCCCCCATTCTGCTCTTACTCTGCCAAGAAGGAACGTTCAAAGCCATAACCAACACTTCCTTTTTAGTATTCCCATACAAGAAAAACGCTGATGGTTATTAGCAGAAGAAAACACTTTCATATATATCTTTCATGGACATATTTGAGGCAGTAAGGATGTTTATCTCCTTAATAGAGTAAAAAATACCCAAAGTTTAAGTTTGCACAAGAACATTCCAAGAAATCACAGTTGCATGTATGTCCTAGTTGAAAGACATAATAAAGTTATTTGTAGCAGGAGCAAAAGTAATTTTCATTATAAGACTATCATCTTGAGATAAGACTGCTAGCAATGCTATTAAACAGTGAGTGCCCATAATATTTATGGATAGAGTAGCAACCCAGGCCACTCCTACAGACTGTAAATAACCATGAAAATAGGTGGGCAATTCCTAGCTAGCACTGAAAAACTTAAGTCGGATATTTTTGACTCTCAAATAAATGCCAAGGAAGAAAATAACCAAGATTTAGTATAAGAATATTCATGTAGAATTATTTATAATAATGGAAAAAAAATCTCTATTCCCCTAATAGAAAAATGGTAAGTGATATCATAGCTACAAGAATATAATGATAGAAAATCACTAAGTTCATAACTTCGGAGGCTATTTAACACTGTGGGAAAATGTTCCTGACAAAAGTTGAGGGAGATCATCCTAATGTAAAAATAAGTATGTGTACATGTGTATAATACATGTTATGCAATATACAAACTTTTTTTTTTGTACCAGGGATCAAACTCATGACCTGCGCTTGCCTGGCAGGCACTTATGCTGGTGAACTATATCCCTGGCCCAATATACAATTATTTGTAAGCATATATAAAATAACTATACATGTGCTAATTTATTCATCTCTGGTTTTTTTTTTTTTTTTTTTTTTTTTTTTTTTTTTTTTTATTTTATTTTTTTTTTTTTTTTGGCAGAACCGGGGATTGAACTCAGACCCTTGTGCTTTCCAAGGAAGCACTTATTCCACTGAGCCATCTCCCCGGCCCCATGCGCCAATTTATTTATTTATTTATTTATCGGCAGAACTGGGGATTGAACTCAGGCCCTTGCACTCACCAGAGAAGCACTTATTTCACTGAGCCATCTCCCCAGCCCCACTGAGCCATCTTCCCAGCCCCCCATGTGCCAATTTAAATTCAAAGAAAAACAGTAAGACTTTTTTCTCATGGGCTGGTCTACCACCTATGTATTTCAGAATCACCTCAGGGATGGTATTAATTCTACGTTCTCAAGTAAAATAAAAATAAATGAAACGCAAAGTCTCAGGTTTCAAGGATTTACTGACTTAAGGGACACTGGAAACTGAGCCCTAGGCTCCATCACTGTTATATTCCTGACTCCTAACACAATTTGATTCAAAATTTACTACAACTACATTAATGAGGCATGAGTGGTCCATCTGAGCAAGTCAACTTTTGAGAATGGAAAGTGTGTAGTTCTAAATCTAAAAAATAAGTAGTTATCTATGAATTCCTGAAAATGTTTAAATCACTTTAGGCCAAAGAAAGTACTACACTAAGGAAATCATTATGTCAATAAATTATTCAGTTATAATAATTTTAAAAGAAGAAGGAACAGCATTTTTCAACGTTCCAACATTTACCTTGGCAAAAAGAGGCTTCATGATCAAATAAGCTTGGGGCCTATTATACATATACCACCCCCTCCCCTTTAAGGGCATATAAGCATAAGTAGATTACAGGTTCTAAGGAATTTAACACAGACTTGCTTCTTTCTTTTAGCTTCTCATTGTCTTACAATTCTTCTATCACTAAAAACAAATTCTAAGCTGGAAGAGAGTCCAGAAAGAATTCTCATCATGGACCAAATACTACACTTGACCCAGTACCTCAGTTCCTTTCCTTCGTCTCCAAGGGCTTTTCACAGGTCAAATCAGACACCAAAAAATGTTTAAAGAACAGCAAAACTGAGCGCCAAGCTACAAGATTAGAAGAACTTTTACTTATCTATTATTACCACTGGCCTGTTAGCTCAGAATTGAAAACATATCCCTTGTCTATTCATTTATGTATACCCAACACAATAAATTCCAGCACTTATTTGGTACTCATTGAAGGGTCACAGCTAACCAGGTAATTAAAAAAAATTTTGATGAGCGATGAAACAAATTAGGCATGTAAGTATTCCTATAATGTGCACAATCAAAATATCAACTTTGTTTCACTCAAAAAAATGTCTGAGCCTTTACTCTACATGAGCATTTCTAAGAATGCAGGGGCCCCAAGACAGAGTCTCTTCCCTTAAGAGCCCTAAGCAGCAGAGCATCTAGTCCTAACCATTCTGTCTTGTACATTTTGAGACTACAGTAATTTCTAATTAATGTTTGTTGAAATTGAACTTGAAAATCAAGACATACTTTAAGTTTGGTCAAATCTGGGCAATTTGGAGACAAAGAGACTAGAGTCAGAATCTGACTAGTCTAGAATTGAGAACTCAAACAGAGCTATCTTGGTCATCACTACTCCATGAAGTCTCTATAACCATTCATGAATCAAGAATTTTAAGCAGATTTGGTATCATGTTATAGATAAATGAGCACTGAAACGTCAATCAAAGATCCACAGTATATTCTACCTTTAACTTTTTGTAAACAATGCTGGATGGATAACTTCAGTTCTACCACAAGGCTGATATATTTCAGTGTTTTAAAAAATCAGTATTAATTCTGAGTTGACAGAGATAACCTAACCTACTACCATTATGTCTGGTACTAAGAGATATACCTTTCAATAAAATTATTGAAATGCAAAAAAAAAAAAAAAAAAGAAAAAGAATTTTAAGCAGAGAAACCTTAGAACCCAAAGGAATATAAGAGTACACACCTTGACAATGAATGTTTCTAAACGTTTGTACTGCAAAGCTCCCTAGGCCTTTGTGATGTTAATATATAGGACTGAGGAAGGGCTTCTGTAGAGCTCATAGGCCTCTGTACTTCAGGACTTTCCAGTGTCTTCCACAGAGTGCTGCATTCCTAATATACATTATCTTGTATATTTTTCACAATAATCCTATGAAGTAGGTTTTATTCTTTTTTCCACTTGGGAGATAAGCAAGTTGAAGAAGCTAGGAGAGAATACATGAGCTGCCTGCTCCAGACCACACAAGGTAGACCAGGACTCTCAAAGCAGGGCTTTCTGGTACCAAAGTCTGGTTTGTGATCATTCCAAGCAGTATTTTGTTTAATACATTGATGGGCACTAGCCCAGAAGAACACACAATACAGTGTTTCCAAAACTGATTTGGCTAGGGTGTCCTTTGGAGCAAACCACTAGTCTTTGCTTGTCTTCCATAGAACACATTTTGAGAAATACTGTGAAGCAAGTGAGTCAAGGAGCCCCCATGGCAGACACAGAGGAAGTAGAAGATAGCTCTGAAGGAAAAGCTACTTTTGAATTTCTCCATTCCTTTCTCTCCTCTCCCTTCTCCCCTCTCTCTCTCCCAACCCTGTGTTTCTGAGGACTGAATATAGGGCCTTACCACTGAGCTACACCTCAACCTTTTTCTGAGACAAGTTCACTAAATTACTAAATTGCCCTAACTAGGTGATCTTCTACCTCAACCACCCCAGTGTTGGGATTTAAGGCATACACCAACATGCTGGCAGAATGTTTATTAAAACTGTGGCCAAGGAATTATTAATAGGGACATGTAAATTAAACTTTGGTTTAATAGGTACATTTTTTACCTCTATTCATAAGCTTTACTTGATAATTCATTTATTTCAAATAATATTTGATATGGAACTCCAATTCTAGCATATTAGGCCCATTTGTAGGATTTGACTTACATAGTAATTCAACCCATTACATCACTAGTTTTGGCATAGCATATTCACATTGGGAATTTAAGTTTTAACTTGCTATGAAAAGGCCTGAAATTTTCATTTGGGATAATTTTTTTTTCTTTTTTCTTTTTAGTGATACTAGGGATTGAACCCAGGGTATCATGAATGCTAGGCAAGAGTTCTATCACTGACATGCATCCCTATTGTCTTTTTATTTTACACTGAGACAGGGACTCACTTCATTAATCAGGCTGACTTCAATCCACTACCCCAGCCTTCCTGAGTAGTTGGGATTATAGGACTATCTCAAACTTTGTAGGACATCTGGCATCCCTGACCCCTGTTGACTTAAATGCCAGTACCACCACCACCACTCTTCAGTCCTGATGACAAGAATACATCTCTATAACTTCTAAATTCCTAGAGGACTACCCAACTAAGAACCATAGAAAGTTTAATAAATACTAAGACTCTCAGTCCAATCCTAAATTCAGTATGCTAACAAAGTCACTGTCATGCTATTGTTTTCTGTCTTCTGTTAGTAACATAAATAGATTCAACACAAAATGCCAAAATACCATTTTTAGCCAAGAGGCCAAGTCCTATATGCATTACCAATAACAGCAACAAAAATGGGCAGAACTAGGCCCAAGACTGCATGGAGTACTGGCTTGTGTCTGGACACTAGCCACAAAATGAGGAGTATATTTGAAGAACCTATTATTTTGTAAGGTGTGTACTTCAAGAAGAATGCTGGGTGTTTTTTTAATCTTTAGAAATGATTTATTATCAAAAAGTTTGTTGCTTACTGAGTCAGTTCAGCAATGCAGCTCCATCCCTTTTAGGATTATTAGGGCCACAATAATTTCAAACAAAAAAACAGAAAACAAAAATGTGGACTGTAGGTTTAGCAACATAGTCACCAACACACCAATATGTATTCAGGAACACTGGTTTCATTTCTTGATTGGAATACCAATCACCATAAAATCTTCTGCTAGAGTCACTTCTTGCAGATCTAATACTGATTCTGCTTGCTTTTTCAGTTCTGCAATGCCATCTGCTTCTCCTTCCCTGGCCAAAGCAACGGGTTTGTACCTCTGACTGAAGTGAGTCAAAACCAGCCTCTTTGCATGGCACAACTTTGCAAATGTTGCTGCCATCTGTGGTGTGCTGTGGCCGTGCTCCTTTGCTTTGTCCATCTGGGCATCGTCCAAGGTTGCCTCATGGATCAACAGGTCAGCGTCAAAGCACAGCTTCACTCCTCCATCACCCACAACTCCAGAGCAATCACCCAATATGCAGATTTTTCTTCCAACAATAGGCTTTTTTAAGACATCCTGGGGAGAAATTGTAATCCCATTTTCCAGGACCACAGAAATTCCATTTTTCAGCTTCCCATAGGCAGGACCTGGCGGAACACCTAATAATAATAAGGCAGAAAACATTATATCATGGATTTGGAATTTATGATCTTGTAAAAGGGTACTTTAGCAGTGCAGCAAATAGCAAATGGGATAGGCATCCAATTCTTTTTCATAATTGTTATTTTACTACTGGTGGAAAACTAGAACATTTATACATTTTAAAAGTTCAATGTTGGCTATTAACAATAATTTTGTACTTAAAACATTTTCCATGTATGTTTGTCATATGACTTTTAAACTGCTAAATCTTGCTAAGACCTTATTACAGTCAAGATAACAGCTTTGATTCTTTGTTGTGCATGGAAATAACAGTCTTAAAAATGCTTTATTTAATAAGCTCATTTTTGGATAGAATTAAGGAGTAAAATCAAACAATAACATAATCAGTGTCTAGTCAGGAAGATACCCACAAGTTATTTAATAGAAAAATCATTAGAGAGGACTGTTGGGATCGTAAGATCAGGTGCATTTCAAGCAATCGCACATGATCAATTTTCTTGGCAGATGTGGCAACTCCACACTTATCAACCTGGGTTTATATCTTAATCTAGAGTAACACCTGATCATCACTCTGGACAATACTCATAAACAAGCACAATCACAATTCTAATATAGACCCTGTTTTAAGTTTTCAAATATCATGGTATTTCCACAGGCTTTGAGATAATAAAACTAAATTTGGCCTAAGTTACTTTTCCTCAATATACAGCCTCTTTTCTAGTAAGGGGGAGAGATCACATGCATAAAATAACAAACATAGAGAAAGGAGATGCCAAGGGGCGTGGTGATGCTCGGCATGGAAAGGACCTGGCCTCTCTTTCACAATAGGGCTGAGGATCTTTCAGTGAACCCTAAGTCTATCTTTGCATGCTTTCTTCCCACCATGATGAGTGTTAGTGTAAAACTGCTTAACATGTAGTGTTTTTTTGTTTGTTTTGGTGGTACTGGGACTGAACTCACAGCCTTACTCTAAGGAATAGCCCTATCCTATAGATAGATAGAGAGATAGATAGATAGACAGACAGAGGCAGGCAGGCAGATACACAGACAGACAGACAGACAGGCAGGCAGACAGACAGACAGAGCGGGTCTTGCTAAATTGGGCTGGGCTTAATCTGGCAATCGAACTGTATAGTTTCCCAGGGTACTGGGATTATAGATGTATAACTAAGTGAAGTGTTCTGAAAATCAAATTAAGTCAAGTTTGAGTGAGTAGGCAAAGTGGATAAAGAACCCTTGAAAGTAATTGTTTATAGTTCTAAAGTTAAGAATTATGTAAAAAATTCTCAGGCCAAAAATGTCACTGAAAATATAGTTTAGCCAGGCATGATAATGTGTGCTATAACTCCAACATGGGAAGGCTGAGACAAGAAGAATGCCTTGAGTTCAAGGATAGCCTGGGCTACATAGTGAGTTCAAGGCTAGTCTGGAATACAGAGTGAAAGCTTGTCTCAAAGTAACAAACAAACAAAAAGAAAATATACTTCAAAAGGAAAATATGAGGTCTGGGAGTATAGCTCAGTGATACAGTTCTTGCTTAGCATGTGTAAAACCCTGGGCTCAACCCCCAGACCACAACAAAAAAACCATTCCACCCAAACACCCTTACCAGCCAGACAATATAAAGTGAAGATATGACAGATTAAGAATGTAAATCCAGGAAGCTGAAAAGGATTTTAAAAAGTGCTGCATATTTGGCTTTTGTTCTGAACAGTGTCTTTAGGCCCCAAAGATTTTCCTTAATAAGCAAACTTTGGGCAGAGACAGTGGAGAAAATGTTATTTTTAGGCCTGAAATACAAGGAAAGGCAGGTCATTATGACACTTTTAATGGATAAGCACCTCAATTCTGAGGAGGAAACACACACACACACACACACACACACACACACACACACACTTACCAAGGTCTTTTAGCTTCTGTGCATTTAGTTTACCTGGACGTTTCTTTTCCATAACTGAAAACCCAAAGGAGGGAATTCGGTGAAAGAGGCGGAATGCTTTTACAATAAACTGCTCATCATCAACCAGAAGATATGAGTTTTCTTCTGAGTCTAACAAGATAGTTCTTCCTTGTCCCTCTGTATGAGAGCTGTCTGCTTTATCCACATGTGAAAATTCTCTTAGCTCTTCTGTGGGACACTGATCTTCTGTAGGCACCAGCTCATGGACCACATAAGGAAAGACCAACTCTGTATGAGAGAGCTCCATTGTTCGCCAGATAAAGTCCCGAAGCCCTACAGGGCCATAGATTTCAATAGGCTGTTTGCTGACAACAGAGCCACTCTGCAGGCTGATTGTGCATAGGAGGCCAGGAAGGCCAAAGAAATGGTCTCCATGAAGATGTGTGATGAAGATCTTGGTAATTCTCCCTTTTGGTTACAAGACAAATATATTTGGAAATTAAAAAAATAAAAATGCAAAGCTATTTGAAGCAAGTTTAATATGTTGTACTAAAGGTATTAAATTCAATTTAATAGACTTATTGCTGCCTTTGCTGCATAGTTCCACAAGCAAAAATGACTTTATTTTGTGCTGGGGATAAGATTCCAAGTTTGATCCCCAGTACCAAAAAAAAAAAAAAAAAAAAAAAATGGCCTTATTGCATTGGATGGTTTTAAATGAGATTGTTTTTCATAAAACATTTTAAAATTATATAGTTTTACATTTTTTTTTCTTTTTGGTACCAGGAACTGAACCTAGGACCTTGAGTTTGCCAGGTAGATGTCTGTGCTGCTGAGCTATACCCCCAGCCCTGTATTTTCTAAGGTGTTTTCCTATATATTCTCGCACTTAAAAAAAGAAAAAAAAGGCATAAAATTGTACCAAAATACTTAACTAGGTGAGATTTAAGTGTCAAAAGCATCTGGCAGTTACACTGCCCCCTTCTGTCTCCTCTGAGAATAGCAAACATGTACTGTACTAGCAAAACAAAATGTTTCAATGATTCCAGTGCCTTAACTCAAAACTGCCTTTTAAGGACTCTACACTGGACAGGGACTAACCAACCACAGCAGACCCTGGATGTACTGGTGAAGCTGTACAGGAAAGAGAAAAGGGGTGAGAGTGAGGAAGGGAGAGGAAAGGGAGGAGCGAGAATAAAGACAATGTGAAAAGAACCTGATAAGAAACAGGAAGGAGGGCACCAGACACCAGAGTGATGGGGGAACGGATCCCCTAAGGTACTGTGTAAAGGCACTTGGGCCCATCTCTGCTTTCAATTTGAACTAACACAACAGCCTTTTCAGTGCTCACTGGCTAAGTTATAACTCAATTTAGCCAATGGTAAACTGAACTCACTGCTGGTTTGTGGCAGGATGCCACATCAGCATTTTCTGAGATGCACCACAGACATTTTGAAAGTAACAACACAACTAATACATTTCCAGTATAACAGGCTTCTGGGCCTTGCTCAAGGCCCACTTATTTTAAACATATGATACCATAAAAGTGCAGGAACAGTTTATTGATACCATAAAAGAACAGGAACTATTTATTGCATTGTGATTTGTCCCACAACAGCAAATACTCTCCAAGCAATCTGCCTACCCCCAGCCCAGAAGCAGAGAACAATGGATTGGGCAGAGGCTGATTTTAGACTTTGACAATTCCCAGGAGGAAAAGATACTCTCTTACTCTAGAAGCTTCTTAAATATGCTCCTTTTTTTTTTTAATCCTTATTTTTCTGTTTTCTGACTGAAAATCCTTTAATTTTCCCCTTTCCCCCTGTCCAGAGTGTTAAGTCACCTCCAAGTATGAATTGAGGACTCTGCAGATAAAAAGACTACAAGGGGGCTGGAGAGATGGCTCAGTGGTCTAAAGCACCTACTTAGAACAAGCTTGGCAAAGCATCAGGGACCGCGGTTCAAACCCCCAGCACCACATGCCAGCCAGTCCCGCCCCCTGGTGGGCTGAGCTGGCCACACACGCGCACCACACACACTCACTCTCTCTCTCTCTCTGTCTCTCTCTCTCTCTCTGTCTCTCAAAT